CATCATCATCAAGTTGCTCCTCCTACTCAATAACCTCATCAGGTTGGTCCCACTACTCAACAACCTCATTGGATCTACTTTTTGTACTTGTGCAATTGTTAGAAGTAGAATGAATGGTAACAAGGTTAGGTATTATACCATTTTTGGCCTTCTCTAGCTGGTCATTTATAGCTCCAACTTCACTTTCTCAGAAGATTACATCTCTGCTTCTAATGACCTTCTTCTTTACAGGATCTCACAATCTATACCTGAATTATTCTTCTCCATAACCGATGAATATGTAGGGAAAACTTTATCATTCAGCTTTGTTCTATACTCTTTTGGTACATGTGCAAAAGCTCTGCAACCTAATACATTCAGATGTGAGTATGACGTCTCCTTGTTGGTCCAAACTCTCTTTGGGATGTCAAACTCCAATGGAGCTGATGGACTCCTATTGATCAGGTAATAGGTTGTTTGAATTGCTTCACCCTAGAATGACTTAGGCAGTTTAACCATTCTGAGCATGCTTCTCACCCTCTCAACAATGGTACAATTTATTCTCTCAACTACACCATTATGTTGTGGGGTTCCAGGAACTGTCTTTACATGTCTGATCCCATGGATGAAACAATACTCTTCAAATTCCCTTGAAGTGTACTCACATCCATTGTTAGTTTAGAGACACTTTAGCTTTCGACCTGTCTCCCTTTCCACTAGAGCATGAAACTTCTGAAAACCTTGAACCACCCGATCTTTGGTTTTTAAATATAAACCCACAATCTTCGTAAAGCATCATTAATAAAAGAAATAAAATATTTGTTATTGCCCATTGATATAATTTCTATTGGACCATAAATATAAGAATATAACAAATCAAGTATATTCAATTTTCTTTCAGACGGTGTCTGAAATGAGACTCTATGTTGCTTACCAAATAAACAGTAGTCACAAGGTTTTATAGTTGTAACTTTGGCAAAAGAGATGACTGATTTTTTGGAAAGAATCTGCAATCCCTTCTCGCTCATATGACCCATTCTTTTGTGCCACAAATCTGTAGAAATCCCATATTGTACCGCGTTTAATTCACCTCAGCATATTTCTGCATTTGTCTTGTATAATGTGACACGAGCAACTCCCTTTGCAATCTCACGTTTAATTTACAAAATAGTTCTCGTATCCATCTCGATCCAAAGTTATTCCTGAGATTAAGTTCATCTGCAAATCAGGTACATGCCACACGTCCTTTAGAGCCAATGTGCATCTGACATTTTTCTTGATACAAATGTCACCGATCCCCGGAATCTTTGAGTAACTCGTGTTACCCATTCTCATAGTGCCGAAATTACCTACTATATATCTGCAAAAGATTTCTCTTACCGATGTGGCATGGTAAGATATAGTTGTATCGACCACCCATTCTGACTCTGAACCTGCCAAGTGCATGCATTCTTTTTCCTTATTTATGAAGAAAACAATATTATGATTGTTTTGTACCATGGCGGTTGTGTTGTCGTCATTCTTCTGGCCACTGCTTTTACCTTTGTCCTTTCTTATATTTGGGCAATCTCTTTTGAAGTGACCCGGTTGATCGTAATTGTAGCAATTTTTGGCTTTTGATTTGAATCGGTTCTTGGACTTCCGACGACCTCCTGATCTACCATAGTTTCTTGAACTCCTTTGGTAACTCCTTCCTCTACCTTCTTTGATAAGAGCTTGTCCTTGATTTTCAGGTTTCTTTTTCATATTCTCATTGAGTAGAAGAGCCGATGTGACGTCCTTCACCTGAACAGTGGTTTTACCTTGAAGGATGGTTTTTGCCGAATTATCGTACGAAGATGGCAATAAATTCAAGAGCAAGATGACTTTATCCTCTTCCTCAATCTTTACTCTGAGGTTGGCAAGTCGCGTGATGAATCCATTAAGCACATTTAAATATGACAAAATATTTGTACCTTCACCCATATGTAGGGCATATAACTGATTCTACAGGTACAATTTATTTGTCAGTGTTTTGGATATATATAGGCTTTCCAACCTTGTCCAGATGACACATGTAGTATCTTCATTAATGATGTTATTTACCACATCACCTGATAAGTGCAATCTGATTGTACTAGTAGCCTTTTTATCCAAGACAACACAATCATGTGCTTTCATTGTATCAGGCTTTTTGGCATCACTATCTAATATCTTGTGTAATCCTTGTTGGATGAGCAGATCCCTCATCCTTTTTTGCCATGTTGAGAAACCTCTATCTCCATTGAATTTTACTACTTTCGTACTTTACTCCGGACATTTTATTTTTTCCACTGAATATAGTCTATCAGCAGTGAAGACTATTTCTGTGACGGAGTAGAAACCGTGCTCTAATACTAGTTGTTGAGAATATATCCCCCAACAGAAATAATATTCACGGTAATAACAGCGGAATAATAACATAGTACCGAGATACGGTAATCAACAAGAATACAAAGATTTTTAACGTGGAAAACACTTCTGAATAGGGGAAAAATCACAGGCCCGAGAGAAGCAAAGTAATCCACTATAATAGGGAATTTTACACCCAGTAGTCCCGAGTAAAATACTCCAGGGACCACTATACCCTTAAAACAATTACCCTATTTTAAAATTCTTATCTCACTACAATATCGCTCACACTTTCTATTTTTTCTCACAAATTACACCGCCTGTGAATACCTCACACTGCTCTCTAACTCTCAGATATGTTTTTCTCTGATATTGTGTGTTGAGATGAGAGCCAAAGCTCTCCTTTTATAGGTGAGAAAATGTTCCCCACGACAACCAAAATTGGTTCTGGTTCTACAAGTTGCAAACTTGCAAACTTGCAAATTGGCAAGTTGTTATCCACTACCCAACTTAATCAATCACCCTCTTCCCTATTTATTTTTCTTTTTCAATATGGGGATGGACCCCACAATAGTCCATTTACTTATTCTTTGTTAGTAGCAACTATGGGACAACTGTAGGTTAGTATATAACTTGTTTCTATGGCTCGTTAGATGATATTGATGTTCCAATACAAAGACATGATTCCGTTAATGTATTAAACCAAAATTGTACCGAATCAAACAAGAAGTATTGACATGTACCAAACTACTTTGGTACAGTATTTGGTAAATACTATAGATAAATGAATACCAAATTTTCAAATCGAAGTTTTTAATTACTGAAATAAAGTACCGAACGTCCACCCCAAATATAATAAAAGAGAACCTTTTCCTGTTTTATTTTTCTTTTATGGTCTACCAACTATGCATCTCAAATTTGGCACAAGTCAGTCCCCTTCAAAATGGTGTTTAGCACATGGAGAGTTTTTAATGGTAAACTACCTACTGATGAGAGGGCGACAAGAATGGGATTTGCTCTGGCAACTAAATGTTACTGCTTCAACTCACCTGGGACAGAAACCATTGAACACTTATTTTGCTCGGGGAAATTTTCTCAAGCCATATGGGCGAAGTTTTGTGGACCATTTGGGATATCTTGTGGAAATAAACATTTGTTACAGCTTCTATCAATATGGTGGCATTATAAGTCTCTGAATACAATTGCAAGCTTCATATCGAGGATAATGCCTCAGATGATGCGGATAAATATGGTTCGGATCTTCGTTCAATCCAAAGGTCCAAAATGCATTGATATCCCTTCAATATCTCCTAGCTAGTTAGTCAAAAGTTTGGAAAGTTAAGAATGGAGACAAACCGGGACATGTTACAAGGCATCCTTAACCAACTTGCAAATCACAGGGTGTATAATCTGATCAAATGGGTAAAACCTCCTGCCCCATTCTATAAACTTAATATTGATGGTAGTTATATAGAAGGGGTTTGTGGGGATGGAGGTATCCTCCGAGATAGAGACGGGAAGTTTCTACTAGCCTACTCAATATATCTGGGCACTGGTACTGGGAAGATTGTGTGCTTACTGTACTTATCTTATTAACAGGTTTCCTCCATCATATGATCACTTGAGATTATTTGGTTGTCTTTGTTTTGCTACTCTTGCTAAACATGGTAGAGACAAGTTGCAACCTAGAGATGCTTCTTGTATTTTCTTGGGATATCCTTTTGGTAAAAAGGGTTACAAACTTCTTAATCTTTCCTCTTATTTCACTTTTTATTCCAGCAATGTTATTTTCATAAGCAAATTTTCCCTTACCACTCCTCCTCTCCTACACCTCCCATTTTCTCTCCTTCTAATACATCCTCTTTTGTTGACATTCAGCCTGCTTCTCCTCCTAAAACTTCCCCTGCTCTCTATATTCCTATCCCTGTTTCTTCCTCATCTCCCAATTCACCTTCACCTCTTCCTTCTTCTTCTAATATTCAGTCTTAGGCCTTTCCTATTCAGAATGCTCCTTCTTCTCTTCCACTATTAGAAGATCTGGAAGACCTTTCAAATCTCATTTTTATCTGAAAGATTACATTTGTTCTCATGTTGCTCCTAATTCTAAGGGTACTTCTGATGACCTTCACTTACAAGAGCCTCAGTTTTATCCCCAGGCTGCCTCCAATCCTGCATGGCAGGAAGCTATGTTGAAGGAGTTTCAAGCTCTTGATGCAAATAAGACCCGAGACATTGTTCCTCTTCCTCCATGAAAGAAGGCTATTCGTTGTAAATGGGTGTAATACATAAAGCAGAAATGAAATGGCACAATTGAAAGGTATAAGGCTAGATTAGTTGTTAGAGGAGATTCTCAAAAATAGGATGTAGATTATACTGAGACCTTTTCTCCAGTGGTTAAGATTGCCACTATCAAATGTCTTCTTACTGTTGCTGCCAAGTGAGGGTGGACAGTCTATCAATAAGATGTCAATAATGGTTTCCTTCATAGGAATTTACCTGAAGATGTTTACATGCATGGACCTCCTAGCTTGACTGTCACTTCTCCTTGTTCCTCTTCCTCCTCTTCTCATTTAGTTTGCAACCTCAAGAAATCATTATATGGGTTGAAGCAAGCCTCTAGATAATAGTTTTCTAAGCCTTGTGAGTCCTTAATGTCTCGAGACTATGTTTCTAATAAAAATGATTATTTCTTGTTCACCAAGGGTTCAGGTGATTTTGTGATGGTCCTCGGTGTGTATGTAGATGATATTTTACTGGCTAGTTCTGATGTTACTAAAATGAAGGCACTTAAGTCCTTTATAGATGAGCAGTTCAAAATTAAAGACCTTGGTGATGTTCATTATTTCTTGGGGCTTGAAGTACATCATACTTCTCAAGGTTATCTGGTTAATTAACTAAAGTATACACAAGACCTCGTATATGAATTTTATTGTGGTTTTTTATCTACTGTTCTTTCTCCTTTGGATATTTCAGTCAAGCTATCTTTAACTCAGGATGAATGCTTGCATGATGCTTCTGTGTATCGCTGACTTGTGGGGAAATTGAATTTTTTGCAGCACACTCACCCTGATATTTCATTCTCTGTCCAACATTTAAGTCAGTTTCTCCAGGATCCTAGGGTGCCACACATGCTTAGTGCCATTCACTTATTGAGGTTCCTTCTTAATGATCCTAGACAGGGCATTCTTTTACGTGCTTCTTCTGATTTATTTCTTCTTTCCTATGCTGATTCAGCTTGGGTAGCTTGCCCCATTTCACGGAAGTCTGTCTCTAGGTTTTTGTAACGAATCGATCGGTCATTTTGAGTATTACAGTCTCGTTTCCCTATTTACTGCTCAATTTATGCTTTATAATTATTTTATGACTTATCGGGTCAGTTGGTTCAGGTTCGGAAGGAATTCTGAGTGAAATGAGATACTTAGTCTCATAATTGAAAACTTAAGTTAGAAAAGTTGACCTGATGTGACTTATGTGTATACGACCACAGATTTGAATTTTGATGATTCCAATACCTTCGTATGGTGATTTTGGACTTAGGAACGTGTCCGAAAAATTATTTGGAGGTCTGTAGTGGAATTAGGCTTGAAATACTGAAAGTTGATTTTTGGGAAGTTTGACTTGGGGGTTGAATTTTTGATATCGGGGTCAAAATCCATTTCTGAAAATTTTGACTGTCTGTTATGTCATTTATGACTTGTGTGCAAAATTTGAAGTCAATCGTACTTGATTTGATAGGTTCCGGCGTCATTTGTTGAAATTTGAAATTTCAAATTTCAAAATTCATTAGGCTTGAATTGGGGTATGATTCGTGGTTTTAGTATTGTTTGAGATGATTTGAGGGTTCGACTAAGTTCGAATGATATTTTGGGACTTGATGCTATGTTTTGTTGAGGTCCTGGGTGGCTCGGGTGAACTCCGGGATGGCTTCGAATCATTTGTCCTTATTTTACGACTGCTGGAACTGGTTTCTGGTGCTGTTCTTCGCGAACGCGAAGGGTCTCACGTGTTCATGAAGAACGGATTTGGACTGCTGGGAATTTCCCATCGCGAACACGAAGAATAGAGCTGGGGAAGCCTACGCAAATGCAAGTGGGCGAACGCAAACGTGAAGAAGGGAGTTGGGGAAGCCTACGCGAACGCGAGTGGGCGGACGCGAACGCGAAGAGGAAAGGGAGCTGGGGGCTTGCCTAGCGTTAAGCCTTCGCGAACTCAACTCATATCTCGTGAACGCGAAGGGCAGAGGTCGGAAGGCATCGCGAACGCAATGAGAATATCGCGAACGCGAAGAAGGAATCTTGGCAGCACATTTTTGCCGTTCACGAATGCGAAGCTATGGTCGCGAATGCGATGAAGGCATTTCTGGGCAGAATTAAAAGTTCCAAAACGGGGGTTTTGAGTTCATAACACAAAATCAAATTAGGAGATCGGTAGAAGGCGATTTTTGGAGAGATTCTGAAGTAGGTGTTTGGGGTACGTGATTCTTATCCAGTTTTGATTAATTTTCATAATTATGCCTTTGAATCCATCATTTAATGGCTGAATTAGGTTGAAAATTTTAGAAAACCCTCTTGGCTTAATTTGAAGATTTTAGGATCGAGTTGAGGTCGGATTTTGGTAAAATTGGTATGGCTAGACTCGTGCTTGAATGGCCTTTTGGATTTTGTAACTTTTGTCGGGTTCCTAGACGTGGGCTCCACGGGTGATTTTTGGGGTGCAATTTCGGATATTTGTGAAAACTATTAGAATTTTGATATGGAATTAATTCCTATAATTTTGTGGACTGAATCAAACTAATTGTGGCTAGATTCGAGCCATTCGGAAGTTGATACGTGCAGAATAGAATATTTGGAGCATTGTTTAGCTTGCTAGACATTGGATTCGTCTTGTTCGAGGTAAGTAACTCTTCTAATCTTGGAGTTGAGGGTATGAACCCTGAATATATATATATTATGTGAATTGTTGGGAGGTGACGCACATTCTAGGTGACGGGCGTGTGGGCGTGCACCATAGAAATTGTGACGTAATTGGTTCCATGGAATTTTGTAGTCAAATAATCTTAGCATTTACCAAGCAATTTTATGTGTTAAAACAAATTAAGTTGAGAATCATATAAAAAATTATGTTAAGACTATGTGCCAATATTATTGGGACCCACAGAGGTTATATTATTGTGAATTATTTATTTTAAATTAAAAATTCATACTCAGACATATTTATTTTATTACATATCATATCCTAGTCTCTGTTATTATTTATTGATACACCATATCATCATTTTCGGGCTATTTTCATGACATTGTGAGCCCATGAGAGAGAGACTAGAGATATTGATGACTGAGGGAGGCCGAGGGCCTGATTGTGAGGATATTTTTGGGATCGGGCTACACGCCGCAGTAGGCCATGTTGGTTTTATATATATTATTAGTATGTGGATCGGGGCTGCCCGCCTGCAGCAAGCCTTATAGGCTTATTATAGCACGTAAGTTGTCCGTACGGATACAAATATTGATAATATAGCACGTGAGTTGTCCGTGTAGATTATAGCACTTGAGCTGAAGGAGCCCCTCTGGAGTTTGTACACACCCCCACTGAGCGCAGGTACCTACTGAATGCGAGTGCCGAGTGTGAGTGCCGAGCTATTGGGGGGATTGAGTGACTGTGAGGATTGAGTAACTGTGAGGACTGAGTGATGGGGAGGACTGAGTGAATTGATACTCTGAGAGTATGCATATGAGTTGATCTCTGAGATACTGCATTGACATGCACACATGACATACAAGCATCGAGATGTATTTTTCCTCACGATGTACGATATCACATCATTCAGGATTTCTCACACATGTTGGCAGATGGGCATAGTGATGCAATTGTTTTACACTAGTTATCTGGAAAGAAAATGAAATATCTTATTTATTTTTGAAAGGCTTTTGGGAAAAGTATTGTTTTCAAACTTATTCATATTTTTGGAAACTCCGGTAAACGATTTGGGTTTTCATTGATGTACTTGAAAGGCAGAACTATTTTCAGAAATCATGTTTTTGTTGAGCATTTGATTGTTGAGTTACTTCTGGTATTACTTGTATTTGTTGTTATGAACTATTATTGGTTATTGAAGTTGGGACCCGACCTTGGTACAAGCTCATCACTACTTTCAACCTAAGGTTAGGTTAGTTAATTATTGAGTACATGGGGTCGGTTGTACTCATACTACACTTCTGCACCTTGTGTGCAGATGCTGGTTGTTGTTGTTGTTGCTGTGTTCGTTGGGAGTTGGATCTGAAGATGTACCTGTGTTCCGGTTGTAGCTACCTCTTGTTCATGATAGCCTTAGATTCATAAAACTCTATTTATGTACTTTTCAAACAGATGATGTGTTTATTTCATACCAGCTTTGTAAACTCTATTCTTAGAAGCTCATGATTTGTACTACCAGTTCTTGGGGAAATGTATTAGTTTCATATATTTTCTTTTAATTAATTGTCATATCAAATTTCATTGGAATTGGATAGTTGATAATTGGCTTACCTAGGAAGTTGGGTTTGGTGTCATCACGACTAGTTAGATTTTGGGTCGTGACAAAGTGATATCAAAGCTCTAGGTTCATAGGTTCTACAAGTCATGAGCAACTGTCTAGTAGAGTCTTGCGGATCGGTATGATGACGTCCATAATTATTTTTGAGAGGCCACAAGGCATTTAGGATATATACTTCTCATCTTTCTTTCTTTATCGTACGGAATTCATTCAGCTTGAGACATAACTCTTTGAATTCCTTCCATGTATTCGTATGCGCACATGAGTGCTCGGTATTAGTTATGCATTGTCGGCTTGTGATTCTATAAACGAGGTTCGAGATGTGTATTCTGGTTTTTGGTGATGGGCCAGTATGGAGGACTTGAGGCCATGGTTAAACCGCAGCTTAAGCTCAGTAGCTTCAGCTGTAACTTGTACATTTGAACTCATATGTCCAGTAATGTCCTAACGAGTGGCATTTGTGGCTCGATGAGCGGTGGAATGGCCTTGTGCTGAGTATGATGTAACTGCGGAATGTGTTAAGACAATTTCAATGTGACGAGAAGAGTTTCCTTGAAATGTAAAGGAAGGCCATTGGGTGCTTGATTTTCATTTTGATATGACATACAAACTTGGGCATGAATGTTTTGAAGGATCAATCACGTTGTTAAATTTTGGGACAAATTAAATTCTCGTGTCTGGTTAACGAGTTGGGACTCAGATAGACTAAGTGATTGCATAGTAATTGTAATTGCGAAAGGGTATAACAAAATACCAATTTGAGGCTAAGTAGTTGGGTTATCCCCTGCGGAGTAATCTACATATGCGTGTTCCTTATAGGGTTGAGTGGAGAGTTTCTTATCTACCAGCGGGTTGAGATGGTGAGTTCCGGGATGGCCTCAGATCATTTTTCCCTGTTTTGCAACTGCTGGAACTGGTGTCTGGTGTTGTTCTTCGCGAACACAAAGGGTCTCAGGCATTCGCAAAGAAGGATTTTGGACTGCTGGGAATTGCCCATCGCGAACACGATGAAGGAGACACGAACGCGAAGAAGGGAGTTGGGGAAGCCTACGCGAACACGTGTGGGCGGACGCGAACACGAGGAGGAAAGAGATCTGGGGGCCTGCCTACCGTTAAGCCTTCGCGAATGCCGCTCGTGTCTCGCAAACGCGAAGAAGGAATCTTGGCAGCATATTTTTGTGCTTCGCAAACACGAAGCTATGGTCGCGAACGCGATGAAGGCATTTCTGGGCAGAATTAAAAGTTCCAAAACGGGGGTTTTGAGTTCATAACACAAAATCAAATTGGGAGATCGGTAGAAGGCGATTTTTGGAGAGATTCTGAAGTAGGTGTTTAGGGTACGTGATTCTTATCCAGTTTTGATTAATTTTCATGATTATGCCTTTGAATCCATCATTTAATGGCTGAATTAGGTTGAAAATATTAGAAAACTCTCTTGGCTTAATTTGAAGATTTGAGGATCGAGTTAAGGTCGGATTTTAGTAAAATTGGTATGGCTAGACTCGTGCTTGAATGGCCTTTTGGATTTTGTAACTTTTGTCGGGTTCCTAGATGTGGGCTCCACGGGTGATTTTTGGGGTGCAATTTTGGATTTTTGTGAAAACTATTAGAATTTTGATATGGAATTAATTCCTATAATTTTGTGGACTGAATCAAACTAATTATGGCTAGATTCGAGCTGTTCGGAAGTTGATACGCGCAGAATAGAATTTTTGGAGCATTGTTTAGCTTGCTCGACATTGAATTCGTCTTGTTCGAGGTAAGTAACTCTTCTAATCTTGGAGTTGAGGGTATGAACCTTGAATATATGTATTATGTGAATTGTTGGGAGGTGACACGCATGCTAGGTGACGGGCGTGTGGGCGTACACCATAGAAATGGTGACGTAATTGGTTCCGTGGAATTTTGTAGTCAAATAATCTTGGCATTTTCCATGCAATTTTATGTGTTAAAGAAATTAAGCTGAGAATCATATTAAAAATCATGTTGAGGCTATGTGCCAGTATTATTGGGACCCACAGAGGTCATATTGCTATGAATTATTTATTTTAATTTGAAAATTCATACTCAGTGGTATTCATTTCATTACATATCATATTCCAGTCTCTGTTATTATTTAATGATATATCATATCATCATTTTCGAGCTATTTTCGTGACATTGTGAGCCCATGAGAGAGATACTGGAGAGATTGATGAGTGAGGGAGGCCGAGGGCGTGACTGTGATGATATTTTTGGGATCGGGTTGCACGCCGCAGAAGGCCATGTTGGCTTTATATATATTATTATTATTATTATTATTATTATTATTATTATTATTATTATTATTATTATTATTATTATTATTATTATTATTATTACATGGATCGGGGCTGCCTGCCTGCAGCAGGCCTTATAGACTTATTATAGCACGTGAGTTATCCGTGCGGATAAAGATATTGATATTATAGCACGTGAGCTATCCGTGCAGATTATAGTGCTTGGGCTGAAGGAGCCCCTCCGGAGTCTGTACACACCCCTAATGAGCGCAG